TGGGCTACTCTGTGCAGCCTATTAAATTGCTTAGAATAACTCAAGGTGTAAAAGCCTGCAGCTTTATTGCTAACATGAATTGGTTAGTATAAGGAACATAACTTTCATGCATAATACATATACATGATAATCAAACAGTTATGCGTGGGTGACTTAAGAGGTTATTGCTCTGCCTAATGGTTTTGAATCTGATTACATGACGTTGCTAAGGTCCTTCTTTTGACATTTTTATTTTAAAATAATTTGATTTGGGTTCTTTTGTCATTAAATATAATTTCTGGAACAGTTGTATTGAACTCTCCACTAGCCAATTAAGAAAAAGCCCTTGAAAATGTACATTATGGACCAAAATTGTCCTTGGTGTAAGTCTGTTAATCAGTGGAGTTAATCTAGAGATGAATTTGGCCCTGTGTCTCCAAATGAGAGGCAGGAGCTATATAATCTGTTTGTGGTAGGGCTGTCAAGCAATTAGAATATTAATTGCAATTAATCGCACAATTAATCATGCTATTAAACAATAATAGAATACTATTTATATACATATTTTTGGAGGTTTTCCACATTTTCAAATATATTGGTTCAGTTACAACACAGAATACAAAGTGTACATTGCTCACTTTGTTTATTTTTATTGTAAATATTTGCACTGTAAAAATAAAATAAATAGTATTTTTCAATTCACTTAATACAAGTACTGTAGTGTAATCACTTTATCATGAAAGTTGAACTTACAAATGTAAAATTATGTAAAAAAACACTGCATTCAAAAATAAAACAATGTAAAACTTTAGAGCCTACAAGTTCACTCAGTCCTACTTCTTGTTCAGCCAGTCGCTCGGACAAACAAGTTTTGTTTACATTTGCAGGAGATAATGCTGCCCACTTCTTGTTTACAATGTAACCTGAAAGTGAGAACAGGCATTCACATGGCACTGTTGTAGCCAGCATTGCAAAATATTTACGTGCCAAATGTGCTAAAGATTCATATGTCCCGTCATGCTTCAACCACCATTCCAGAGGACATGCATCCATGCTGATGACGGGTTCTGCTTGATAACAATCCAAAGCAGTGCAGGCCAACGCACGTTCATTTTCATCGTCTGAGTCAGATGCCACCAGCAGAAGGTTGATTTTCTTTTTTGGTGGTTTGGGTTCTTTAGTTTCTGCATTGGAGTGTTGCTCTTTTAAGACTTCCAAAAGCATGCTCCAGACCTTGTCCCGATCAGATTTTGGGTTGAATGCTGTACCTTCTTTGCGTTTTGTCAAATTTGCAGTGAAAGTGTTCTTAAAATGAACAACATGCAGGGTCATCATCCGAGACTGCTATAACATGAAATATATGGCAGATTGCAGGTAAAACACAGAGCAGGAGACATACAATTCTCCCCCAAGGAGCTGAGTCACAAATTTAATTAACGCATTATTTTTTTAACAAGTGTCATCAGCATGGAAGCATGTTCTTTGGAATGGTGGCCAAAGCATGAAGGGGCATATGAATGTTTAGCATATCTGGCATGTTAATACCTTGCAATGCCGGCTACAAAAGTGCCATGCGAACGTCTGTTCTCACTTTCAGGTGACGCTATAAATAAGCGGGCAGCTTTATCTCCCGTAAATGTAAACAAATGTGTTTCTCTTAGTGAATGGCTGCACAAGAAGTAGGACAGAATGGACTTGTAGGTGCTGAAGTTTTAAATTGTTTTGTTTTTGAGTGCAGTTATGTAACAGCAACAAAAATCTATGTTTGTAAGTTGCACTTTCACGATAAAGAGATTGCACTGCGGTACTTGTAGGAGGTGAATTGAAAAATACTGTTTATTTTGTTATTTTTATAGTGCAAATAAAAATAATATAAAGTGAGTACTGTACACTTTGTATTCTGCGTTGTAATGGAAATCAATATATTTGAAAATGTAGAAAAACATCCAAAATATTTAATAAATTTCAATTGGTATTCTATTGTTTATTAGTGTGATTAAAACTGCGATTAATCGTGATTAATTTTTTTAAGTTAATCACTTGAGTTAACTGCGATTAATTGACAGTCCTAGTTTGTTTTAAAGTGAATTTCAATCTTGAATTTGGTGACTTTTCCCTATGTTTGATTTGCCATATTTGCAAGGTGTTTATCTGCTGTTTTGAAATTGTTGAAGTTGGTTTTACTTACTTTCTCTGTTTAGAGAGACACTTAATCATCTATAAATAATAACACTGCAATTGGAGATTTTGAATGGTTTTATTTAGATTGTAACTCTTTGGGGTAGAAAATGCCGTTATTGTTTGTTCAGATGGTAAGCTCTTTGGGGCAGAGACCATGTTTTTGTTCTGTGTTTGTAGCACATCAGAATCCTGAGTCCATGACTGATTGGGGTTTCTGTGTGCTACTATAATATGAATGATTGGCTGTTTTTTTTTCTGGATACATTATCTTGGAAGTTATCACATTCCTTTGATTAGGAAATCCGGTACTTCCTTTTTGTTTTTTTTCAAAAGCATACTAACCTCCTCCTTAGAGCTGTTATTCTCATAAATTTCTAAAGTATCAAGGAGGGATTTATTAAAGAGGAATTTATAACCATGCCAGAAGATAGATATGATGACTTGGAAAGGGGAGTAAAGCAATGTGTTATCCAAATTGTGGTGACGCCAGTTCCTTTTGCGGTTCTTGTTCTGAATGGGAACACTGAACTGCTCTTTCTCAGTAGCAAATCCAAGTGACTGTGTTTTATACAAATGTGTTTTAAAATCTCCTTCTGAAGCTCCCTCTGCAGATAACTGTGCTCATTTCCATAAGTGCCATATAAACATGTCTGCTTAGTCACTGTGAAATGTTAATAAATATTTGAAAATACAGTGTTGTGCTGTTTAGGGAGAGTGTGTGGCTTAGTGGTTAGAACGGCACTGGAAGCCAGGACTTGACAGACACAAAAACACAGTTGTGGTCCGCCTAGTCATGCTTTTCCTCCCAGCCTGTCAGGGTTCCTTCCCCACTCTGAACTTTAGGGTAGAGATGTGGGGACCCTCATGAAAGACCCCCTAAACTTATTCTTACCAGCTTTGGTTAAAAATTTCTCCAAGGTACAAACTTTGCCTTGTCCTTGAACAGTATGCTGCCACCACCAAGCGTTTTAAACAAAGAACAGGGAAAGAGACCACTTGGAGAAGTCTTTCCCCAAAATATCCTCCCAAGCCCTACACCCCCTTTCCTGGGGAGGCTTGAGAATAATATACTAACCAATTGGTTACAATATCATTAAAGACCCAAACCCCTGGATTTTGGAACAATAGAAAAATCAGTCATGTTCTTAAAAAGAAGGATTTTATTAAAAATAAAAGAAAGGTAAAAATCATCTCTGTAAAATCAGGATGGAAAATATTTTACACGGTATTCAGATTCAAAACACAGAGGATCCCCCTCTGGGCAAAACCTTAAAGTTACAGAAAACAGGAATAAATCTCCCTCTTAGCACGGAAAATTCACATAAAACAAAAGATAAACTAATCCGCCTTGCGTGGCTTACCTATACTGGTTGCAATATTGGAGACTTGGATTAGGATGGGTTGGAGAAGATGGATTTCTGTCTGGCCTTTCTCAGTCCCAAGAGAGAACAACCATGTAAACAAAGAGCACAAACAAAAACCTCCCCTCCTCCCCAAGATTTGAAAGTATCTTGTCCCCTTATTGGTCCTTTGGGTCAGGTGCCAGCCAGATTAGCTGAGCTTCTTAACCGTTTACAGGTAACAGGATGTTGCCTCTGGCCAGGAGGGATTTTACAGCACTGTATACAGAAAGGTGGTTACCCTTCCCTTTATATTTATGGCACAGCCTAGGAGGTAAAAGTATATTTCTCTGTCTACTGATGCCCATTGCTGTGGTATCTGCGTACCAGTTGTATTTCTTTGGCTGGAGAGATGCGTCCAAAGTTTTGACAAACCCAGGCCCCATTTCCAGCTTTGTTTCACTCCTGCTTGGTACTTGAGATAAGTCTCATTATTATCTGTACTTAATGTGGCTAAGGTAGAATGTAGTATTAGTGCATCAACTATGAGAAAGAGACCGAGAGACTTTTTTCATTGGACCATATGAACTGGAACCATAAACTCACTGAATATTAAATCTCACCAAATGAGGGTAAATCCATCCTCATCATCATATCCACTCATTATACTCCACACCTGAACATAGCCGTTATATGAACAACATACCCCCATATCTCAGTGTCTGTACTTTGACCCGTTAACCTTTTTCCCCCAGTCGGGGATATTGCAGATTATGTATTCCCTATGCCATCTGATCCTAAACCGAATTTTGCACCCCTTGATAATCTGTACCTTATTCCCTGATAACCAGAAACTTCTGCTCTTAAACTCTGTACCATTTTTTTTATTTTATCATCATCTTAATAAAATTATTAAATTAGTTTAATATATGCAGCGTCCTCTTCTATCCTGGGAACTGTCTCCTGCCTTAGACCTTGTGACAGGCTAATAGGTAATTAACAGCTAATAGGTACAAACAGTCTTTTGCAACTGTGACACTGTTTGTTAAGCCCCATGGCCTTGCTATTGGCCAAGCAGAATAGACATACACAGCGTAAATGACCTATGTGTTCTGTGAATGGAGCTGGTCAGAACTGAAGGGTGTTTGTTTTGTTTTGTTTGTTTTTTTAAATTGTGTTGTTTCCCGGTAGAGGGTTGGAAACGCACCCATTTTCACTATTTTTTTTCCTCCTTCCCACCCCCCACTTATTTTTTTAAAATCAAAATTTTGATCAGAAACATTCTTGACATTTTTTTGAAATGTTTCATTTACTGAAAACCAGGTGCTTCACACATTCTTTCTTTCAATGATTTCAAGATAATTTTTGACAAACTTCCAGAAATATTTAGAGGGAAGTCCACATCCTTCCACCAAACCCCCCTTCTTTCTATTAAAAAAAAAGTTCTGATCTGTTTTCCCCACAATTCTGTTCCAAGCGTGTTTTGTTTCTTGTTCCCAGGTTACAATATGCTCCAGTGTCTCAGGAGGCTGTCGTGTTGCTGAAGACCTGTCCTGCACAGGACTCCAGTGGAGAACTGCTTGGAACCAGGCCCCTCCATGTTGGCACAGCAATCCCTGCTCTTCTGTTGAGGCATCCTGGATGTCTCCCCTTTGTGTGCTGGATTACTGGGCAGTAGTGCTAAAGGATGGCTATGTAGCTTCTTGACCACAAAGCCGACAGGTGGCGCCCTCCCCTCCCACCTCTTCCTCACCTAGGATTTATAGTCTCAGTCTCTCTCTCTCTCTCTCTCTCTCTCTCTCTCTCTCTTTTAATTTCTACAGCAGGTTTTAAAAGATTAAACATTTTTCAAAAACAGCTCTCAAAAATGACAAGCCTGTTCCGGCGGAGCAGCAGCAATGGCAGCTCAAGGAACAGCTCTTCCACCCAGGAACTCAACAACAGCCGGCCCACCAGGCAGGTGCGACGGCTGGAGTTCAACCAGGCCATGGAGGATTTCAAGACTATGTTCCCCAATATGGATTATGACATTATTGAATGTGTTTTGAGGGCTAACAATGGAGCTGTGGACGCCACCATTGACCAGCTCTTACAGATGAATTTAGACGGCAGTGGTTATGATGACAGCTCGGACTCAGATGACAGTATTCCCCCAGAGGTAACGTTCATTATCCCCCGCATCTTGCATGGGTTGGGGGCTTTGTTCACTGGCATCCAGGAAAAGGATCGGAGTTCTTGTCTATAGACAGGGACGATGTGGTTGGACTCCTGGGTTCTGTTATCAGCGTTTCTTGTGTGACCTGAGACAAGTGATTTAGCCTCATTGTACTTCAGTTTCCCCACCTGTATAGTGATTATAATACTGTCCTGCTTTACAGTGCGGTTTTATTTACCAGCGTTTTAAAGCACCATGACATCCTCAGATGAAAGACACTGTATTAGGCTCCAATTCAGCAAAGCATTTGAGCACACACTTAACTTTTAAGCATGTGAGTAGTCCCACTGAAATCATGTGCCTATGTGCAAATACATTGACTTCACACACTTAAACTTCCAGTACAGTATAAATACAATGAAGTCAATAAGACTACTCGCATGCTTGACAATTATGTACATCTTCATGGAGCACTGCACTTCATTCTTTGAGGTGCATTCTCTCTCTCTCTCTAATATATATATTTAGGAAGTGTCTGCTCATTCAAGAAATGTACATGTGTATATTATACTGGTATAATGGTATAATATCCAGACAGTGTATTAATTAAAGGAATCTCTTTTCTCATGTCATATTTTACCTTTAGTGTATTCTGAAGTTTTAGGTTGTCCCTCAAGAGCTAGGTGTATTGGTAGTGGAATATAAACATTCTTTTTTACCTTTGTGATTGGTTCAACTGCAGCTTGGAGGGTGATCACCAAAGCTGATTACATTTGGCAGCCCTTGCGTTGTTTATATGCCATGAGAAGGTGCAGTTAGAGTGCCTGGTCCAATAGCTCTGGTGCTGAGAGCATGAAACATCATCATGGTTTGGCCCTACCTTTGGAACTGAGTTAACTGAATCTTTGTCACTAAAGAGGAAGGAAGGAAGCAAATCCTTTGAGTAAGTAGTAGTCATATTGCCTTAGTTTTCAGAGCAGAAGTGCACTAAAGAGTCTCAGCTTTGCAATGCTATTGTCACAGGAAATGTCAGCATCAAGTATTTAACATATTCTCTGTATTCAGTTCTATGCTCTTTCATTTCCGCATTCCTCATGTACCTTGAGATTGAAGAGTAGCTATGATCAGGATTTCTTTGCTGTAAGCAGGACAAATGCAAGATCTGATAAAGATAAGGCAAAACATTGAAGCAAAGTAACTAGGAACAGCATAGCTAATACTTAATGACCTAGAAGGAAACCAAGATGGTGAAGTGAGGATGCATCTAAATGTTATGGGGGGTCTAGTTTGCTCTCAATGCATGTTTACAGCTCTCCCTCCCCCCCATATGGGCATAAAGTGTGTGAGTTCTCTGTTGCTCAGTGTGTGTGTTGTATACCTTTCTCTGTGTCTTATTTACAGAGGATGTGAGTCTGTTACAGCCCCCAGTTATAGAGCCTGTCTCTTCACCTTGAGCTGTAGATACTCATGTTTCAGGTCTGGTTCAATCCCTGGTGGCAGCCAAGATAGTGGCCATCACATGTACACATAAAGTCTCACTTGGTGAGTTCCCTGTGCTGGGGCATTGCAAGCCATCCCTTTCCTATGTCTGCTGATAAGAAAAACAGCAGTATGTTCCGATGTCAATAATAAAAATGAAACAAAGTTAAAGTTCTGACTCCCAACACTTTTACTTTCTTTAACCTCTTAGTAGAAAATGATGACATGAGTGCATGAGGGAAAGGATGGAGAAAGGAAATTCCATGGGGCATCTATTTAGTTTGTCTAATTAGCAAGAGTGAGCAGATTTCCAGTCCATAACTGGATGGTGGGTGGGACACAGGGTATCAAGAGAAAATCAGAGATCTACTGAAACAGGAAGTGTTTATTGAAAAAGCTATTAACTGAAGATACAAACAGACTTCCACACAGCTTGAGTTCCAGCTTTGTCTACTTTGTTTACCAGGGAACATGCTCCGTCTGGAACTTTGTGCAAGCACAGAGACACATTTGGTGGCCTTCATATGTTTACATCCAGTTATACTATCAAAACATATGGTGAAGTCGTTTAAGAAGGGATTCTCTGGGTCTGCATGCACTAGAACCCGCATATCAGAGTGGAAACCGTGCATGTAACTCTGACTCATTGGAATGAAAAGTTACTCTGCAAACAAGTAACTTTTTAAGGCATGTTGAGTGGCAAAATGCAAAGGCATGTGGCAGAAAACTTCAGTTGCTTTTCAAAGAGGCTGTTTTTGTGTTGCACTTTCTGATGGTGTAACCACTCACTCTATTTTGATGAGCTTTGTTTCATAGGAACAAAAAGTAGGAAGAAAAGAACGGTGGGTGGGTAGGAAGAATCAGAGCAGAGAGTTCTACCTGCAAAAGCTGACAAGGGCAGATTGTGTGTCAGGGCAGCTGGAAACTGGCTTCAGATTACAAGAGGCTCTTCGACTATTTATGGATTAAAAACAACCTGACAAGACAAGGATTTCTAAGAAGAGAATTGTGGCTTCCAACATCAAGGAAATGGGACCTTGCAGGTGCTGGGGGTCTAATTTCCTCTAATAGGAGTCATGCAATCAGGAGGGAGCTGTATTTTTGTGACTTGGACCTAGATCCTTGTTAGCCATATCATTCTGTATGCTATAGGCATCATGCGCATCCTCCTCCTCCTTCCCTTCCTCTTCCTGCCTCCAGTTGCATTGTGCCTGCATCAGGTATCAAGAAAGCAGGCTGTGTTCTGCAAATTGTCTACTTTTAAAAAGAAAATTTTCTTTCTTGGATTCTTCTTCATCTTGGTCTTTCCAGTGGTGATTCCATCGTTGGGTCACCTGGGACGTTGCCTCACATAGAAGAAATATCTAAGTAAAATAAACGTCCCTGCCTTTTGTTCACAGTTACCCTTGGATCTTCCAGATGAAGTCCATTGGGGAAACCCTAGAACATGGACTGTTTCCAGCTGGGGCCTCCAAAGCCGGAGGGCACGCGCACTTCAGTGAACAGGCTAGTAGCAAGAGCCAAAGCCTGGGGAGCACTTTTAAAAGTGCCCTTTCTGAGTGCATGTGCCCCTGAGAAGAATTGCAGAGGATTACATACCTAAGATTTGCACCTGGAGCTGCCACTGGTGCACATTCACCTCCCCCCTCCCAAGGAACCGCATAGACATCTAATGACGTGATGTGTCATGGTGATATTTATAGCAAAGTAATATTGACAAGTGATTAAAGCAGGGGACTGGGAATTCATACTCCTGCATGCTTTCTTAGCTCTGCTACGGACATCACTGTGTGACCTTGGGCAAATCATTTAGGCCCGGATATTGAAAGGCATTCCTGTGCCCTATGCCTACTGATTAAGGGGTTTAAATCTCATTTTCAAAAGGGCTTTGGACACTTAGGAGCCAAAATCCCATTGACAGGCAATGGGCCTCTTACGTACCTACTTCACATGGAGAAGTTGGAAGACTCAATTAATGCTAGTTTGGCAATATAAGATCCTCTAATGTAAAGTGCTGTAAAAGTGCAAATTGTTTATTAACAACAGTCCAGGACTCCTCATCATCATACCCACTGATATTACATGGCAATTTGCTGGTGAGCAAGGTGTATTTCTTTTTGTAGCTAATTTTATGATTGAAATTAACACCTGTGAAAGGGAAGGTCTTATACCTTTAGCCCTGTCCCAAGCATGGTGCAAGCAGGCACTGTTCAGGCTCTTCTCCTACATACTTCAGCCAGTGCCCCTCGGTGCAGCAGTAGTGCTTCAGCGAAGATGCTACGTATGCTGATGGGATGGCTTCTCCTGCTGCTGTAGGTACTCCACCTCCCCAAGAGGTGCCAGTGCTGCCGACATCAGGGGTTAGGTCGGTTTAACTGGATTGTCCACACACCTGAGCAACATAGTTACACCAACCTCATTTTCTAGTGTAGGCCAGGCCTTAGGGTATGTATGTACTACTATGTCTGCACGGCAGCTACACTGCTGTAGCGTTGTAGTGTAGACACTAAAGTGATGGAATGAGCTTTTCTTTTGCTATAGCAAATCCACCCTCTTGAGAGACAGTCATTAGGTGGATGGAAGAATTCTTCCGTCAGCCTAGCAGTGTCTGTTCTGGCGCTTAGGTTGGCTTAACTATGTCTCTCAGGGATGTGAATTTTTCACACCCTGAGCCATGTAGTTAGGTTGACCTAAGTTTTAGGCATAGAGGAGGCCTCACATTCTGTATCTTGTTCTGCACTAAAGGAGCACTAAATGAACTGAGTCATAGCACCAAGTAACTGTTTAAGAGCCATTCCCAGGTGCATGTTAGTTGTCAAGGTATGCAGTGCTCTGGGTTTTGTAAAGTAGGTCAGGAGGCCAATCAGTAAAATATGCAAGAAGTTCAGAAGCAGGTTTCAGTTTGATTAGTCAGTTTGATTCGAGTGCACGGTTCAAACAGTGAAGCATGCAGCTAGATCAGTTTGTTTTAAAAGGCACTTGAGGTCTGAGCCAAAACCCCACTGAGTCAGAGGAAAAACTTCCATTGACTTCAGCCAGCTTTAGATCAGGCCCTTTGTGAAGTCCGTTCCTGGAGGGCATCGTGGGGATTGGAACCGAGATGCCTAGTCTTCAGTGGTAGCTCATAAGTGACGTTGCTGCTGGTGAGAGATGCAGAAATCTAGAATCAAATTAAAGACACAGTCACTGGAAGCATCAACTTTTAGAGGAGGTCAAGAAGCAGCTCCTTGCCTGGTCATGTTCCTCCCCAGAGAGATTATAGAGGAGCTGGACACCTAACAGAGAAAAATAAGCCTGTGTTTAAAATCAATTCAGTGCACTGTGGCCATCATTGCGGGGTCTGTGTTCCCAGTGCAGGACTGCACGTGCAGAGCAATGCAAAGGTGTGGAGAACGCGTTTACCTCCACACCATTCGGGGTGTGAACTGCAGACTCTCCCTAGGCTGTGAGGAGAGGGAGTTATAAGAGAGAGAGATAAAGGCGACACCAGGAGTGACTGCACTTTGCAGCATGGAAGGCCACAGTCAGCAGCCTGCCAGGGGTTGCCATGCCAACTGCTCGATCCTGGAAGGTGCTCACTTTTTTCATAGAAGTCAGAAGTTTCTGAGGGAGGGATTTTTTTTTTCCCCAAAAATCACTTAAGCGTGCAAACTTCATTGTCTTTCAGTGGCACTGGTGTGCCTAAGTGGCTGAGGTGCTTTTGAGAATCCAACCCTGAGTGCTTAGCACCTTTCAAGATTGGGACCCGGGTTTGCGCAAGAATTGTTGCACACTCTTAAAAACCAAAATGAAATGCACCCACCCTACCTGCTGGTGCTTGTACAGTATCTGCCTTGCTTGTTTAGTTTCACCAGTGATAAATACTATAACTGATCAGCTGAGGCCCCGAGTCCTGGTGTCTTATTACAACATGTGTGATGGGAGAGATGTTATCCCTGCCCCTTCCTTTCAGGGAGCAGAGATGATATGTATTCAGCTAGCCATTTTTCCACTAGGTGGTCAAGTTATCTCTGATAACTACAAGTTTCCCACCCACTGATTTATTACAGGTTTCTGAGGGGTAGCTGTGTTATTCTGTATCAGCAAAAACAATGAGGAGTCCTTGTGGCACCTTAGAGACTAACACATTTATTTCACTCCATGCATCTGATGAAGTGGGTTTTAGCCCATGAAAGCTTATGCCCAAATAAATGTGTTAGTCTCTAAGGTGCCACAAGGACTCCTCGTTGATTTATTACAGTGTGTCTTAAAGGGACACTGCTGGGTTTGGCAGCCCCCACATTAGCCTGATGTAAAATATGTGATGGGCCTGATTCTGGTCCCATGTTGACATTACACCATCGCAGCTCCATGGACATCCATAGAGTTGCTCCTGATTTACACCTGTATATGTGAGAGGAGAGGATCGGGCCTCCCTAGGCATGTCTTGCATTGTCCAGGCTCGCCTCTGCTGACCCGTGACTGGTCTCTTATTTTCTCTCCATCATTTATTTGTGTAGATTTTGGAGCGGACGCTTGAACCTGACAGTTCAGATGAAGAGCCTCCTCCCGTCTACTCGCCCCCTGCCTATGATATGCATGTCTTTGACCGGCAGTATCCACAAGCTCCACCAAGCCCCCCTCCCAGGTAAGAGCCACAGCGTAGAGTCCACCCAGCATGAGTCCACTGTCTCGCAGGAAATAGCCAGGAGCAAGCTTGTTCTGGGTTACCATAATGGGGAACCGCTAGTGTTGGGGTCACGCTCTGAATCTCTGAAAGGATACTGTTGGGGTGGAGCAAGTGCATTTCAACATGTTTATCTCACTGCCTATAGTTTCCTTTTACAGACTAGAGTGAATTTGTTTCCTTAACAAAAGGTTTTGTCTCCCACCCATATCCAAGTGTGCTTGGGAATGCCAGGCTGTGCATGCTGGCTTGCTGATATAGGAATAGTTGAGAGGGCCGGACCACATAGGCTGGAGCATTGCTGAACTTGAAATGGTAGTGAATCAAAACCACAGGAATGCCAGTTCATAAAAATGAAGCAAGCTAGTAGGTAACAGAAACACCAGGCTGCTTTCTTTTGGGGCTAGTGATGATGTTGTGTACGCTGCCTTGTGGAGGAGGCACTGGTAGCTAAGAGAAGCGCGAAGCACTAATGATGGGGCTTCTGACAGCTCCAGGAACCTCGCTGCCTCAGTGGGGGTGTTTACGACAGGAGAGCAAAAATTGGAACCATTTATATTTGAGTCTGATCTTTGTAGGAGGAGCAGGATGGGTTTGGATCTAAACCGCACCAGACACAAAATCAAAACCCGGATGAGCAAAGTTTTTAGTGCAATTGCAGCACAAAATTTTTCACCCTTCCTATAGTCACAGTAGGTTTTGATGGAATGTTCCACCAGAAGGGGTGAAAGACTGTCCTGCAGCCTACCCCCTAGAAAACTTAGCATGAATGGAAAAGAGCCATCCTTTCTCCCGTGTTGCTAATTAGATGGGCTTGCACACCATTCAATACACTGTCCTCGCTGCTGTCTGTCATATGTTCTATTTCACCATGTTGCTTTGGCCAGAGGTTGAGTGTTTTTGAAAGGCAGATGCGCTAGACACATTCCGAGGCTGCACAAATGGTGCTTCGCTGCGTTTTGGCTGGCCTCTTGTGGAGTTGGCTGGTGAGAGTTAATTAGGATTGGGTGAGATAAAGCCAGAGGGGATGAATGAAGATCACAGCTGGGTGAAAATGTCTGCAAGGCTCTAGAAACTCAACAGCTGAAAGGCCCAGAAAATAACTCATGGGCTGAATGGAATGTCAAAAATTAGCTAAAAGAGGTGAGCTGTTGTTTCATCTAAACAACAGCAGGTGGTTTCTCTCATTAAGCCTATTGCTTTTCATCATTGAAAACAAAGAGATTTTAAAGTCAGAAAATGTAGAGTAACAGAGATGGTGGTTATAGAAATAGCACATGTGTCCTTAAATGTAGATAGCTCACTGCATTCCTCGGGCACTAAAGCCAGACTTCATTCATTGTTCAGTGTGTCCTAGCAATCAGTTGTCACGTACTCAGAAGTAAAACTCGACCATAATCTGACATGCCACGCTCCCTGGGAAACCTGAAAATTAAGATCTCTTCCTGTACCACCTTGGTGTGAAAACTATTGGGAACCTCCTGTGGAGCCAACCCTTTGGTCCTTCATACATCTGTCCCTGGTGTTTGCTCTAACTGAAAACTGCTCTATGGTCTGGGGTGAAGCTGCCACGCTTAGGTTGTCGACACAGAGCTGAATTTGGCCACTTGTATTATTAGTGGCTGGTTGAATTATACTCCAGTCTGTGTTAGTGCACATTCTGGCAGACCTTTGACAAGATGCCATGACCGTCAAGTCTGCTTGGAGAGCTCTGAGAGGTGAAAATCAACCTATTACATTTCTGGTTGACTGGTGCCCCATTTTCAAACAGGAAACAACTTGCAGCGCCAACTCCAAGATCTGCTTACATTCAGGGGAGGAATCCCACTCCTGCAGATGGTGTGTGAGACAGTGGCTGATGTCTTGACACTCTTTTGCTAAAGCAGCTCACTCACTGCTCTAGAGGAGTACCATGCGTGGATGGTCAGTACCACCAGGCAGCTGAAAACTAGGTTCTTACAGAGTGGAAGCATTGGTGGAAGAGAGAGTCTAACACACTGAGTAAATTCAGGAGTCCATCGCGGCACCTGCCTCTTTGTCCACTTAATCGTAGATCGTGGACCAGCCTCAACAGGGTACGCTCTGGCTCATCCAGAGTAGTCGCAACCATATACAGGCATGGATTTCCTCCATGTGCTGCGACTGGGGAGCAGTGTTGCAGACAGTAACTCATGTGGTGGAAGTGTGGCCAACCCAACATCTGGAGGGTGGTTTACCCCTCGCCTCCTGTGATACAGAGGCTATGCTTTGCTTATGAACCTGGACATTGAGCTCTGTCATCTGCATATGAGAGGAGGAGGAGCAATTGCTAAATTGTACTGTGGATTAGACGAGCTTAAAATGAACTGGCCAGTAGGTATGTCCAAGTTGTAATAGTTGTCCACTGACCTAGTAGATGTGGTGGAATCAAAAGTGCTAAATGGTGTAATGAGCCCTGTACTGCTGAGAGCTCATTGAGATTCTACTTTAGCTTGGCTGGAAGAGGCCTGGACTTCTGGAGCAAGAGGATCCAAATTTTATTCCTTTTGTTGCGGTGATGTTCTGAGTGGCTATGGGATGTGTATCACTGTGACGATTGGGGAGTTCCAGTTGGCCCGGGATTTGATATGTTTTCATAGAGCGTAAGGCCAGAAGGGACCGTTAAATCATCTGAATATCACAGGCCATAAAACTTCAGTTACCCCTGCATTGAGCCCAGTAACTTTGCTTGGTTAAAGTCTATCTTCCAAAAGGCATCCAGTCTTGATCTGAAGACTCAATCCACCACTTCCCTTGGTAGTTTGTTCAATCTTACTGCTAAAAGTGGCCTGTTTTCTAACTGAAATTTGTCTGGCTTCCACTTCAGCTATGATTTCTTGTTCTGCCTTTCTGATCCAGATGAAAAAGCCCTTTTGTAGCTGGTATTTCTCCCTGTGAAGGCACTTAAATATATATTACATTTGTTGGTGTCTTTTTCTGTCTCTAGTTTCCATTATTCTGTGATATACTAACAGGTTCTTCAGTGCATCTAGGCGATAAAAGCTTATTTTCCCCCATAAGGCATAATATTGGTGTGTGTGTGTGTGTGTATATATATATATATAATCAGATAGCTTATCAGTGCAACCTCACAACTGTTTGCTATATACTGTATCCCTGAAATTGCCTTTTGGGGATACCAGTGGCTGTCCTCCTGACGTTCTGCGGAGAGGTGCCAACACATTACTGACCTGAGGGCAGCCTTGACAATTGGCAGAGAGCCTGAGGGCTGCGCCAGGTTTTTACAAAATAGATTTATCCAGCTACGCTCATCTTTCACTGTGAAGGCGGCATGGGGCACTCTGTTTTTGACCTAGCATTGTGTACTGGGATCTGCAGTTGGTTTGGCCACTTCTCTGCCGGTTCCATAAGATCTGCAGCTGCTAAGGAGGCTGGCTTAAGAGAAGCAGGCTCCTCTAGAGAGTGTGGCTGTGGAGGGTCAAGTGATGCAATTCACTGATGTAGAATTGTCCTGGGGGTGGAGGGAGAAATGTGCTCTTCCTGATCCTTTAATCAAACCCAAACACCATATGATTCTTTGGCTGACTCCTGCTGTCCCTGCAGTGCCTCTGCAGGATGGGTACAGTCACAGTTTGAAAGGGAAGTTCCAAAGTGGGAGTTGCCTGGCAAGAGGCTTTTATTTGTTTCCTTCACCGTGTGTAAGTGGTAATGAAGACATTAACATTCACACGCAGTCATCATCGCCTCCTGCCACCTCCGCTGACTTTTATGCTTCGCTGCAAGCCCTGAAAATAAAATCCACAGCTCCTAAGCTCTTAGAGAAAGCAATACGTTTTCTCCCCGTCAGCACAAAATCTGCAAGAATGGAGCTCCCCACCTCCCTCCTCATCTCTTCTGTCCCCTGCCAGCTTTGTGCCTTCTTTCAAGCTTCCATGTACTCCTCTCAATTAACGTACACCAGGCCCCCGCTGCCCTCCAGCTTCAAACACCTCCTGGAAACCTGATAACTAAGAGCATCCAGACTCCGCTCTGCGTTTGTTCTCAGCGTTCTGCCTGCCTCTTGGTGCCTGTGGGTTGTTAGCTCTTCAGGACAAGGATTCAGTTCTTTGAGCAGTGCATCTTGCTTTGTGTAAAGCACCTTGTATGCTGACTTCGACAGATAAATAATAACTTCTCCTGAGAGGGTGTTAATTGGGGAAATCCTTGACACAGAGGCAAAGCCTGTCCCACATATGGGGAGATTTGGAGGGAGCGGGGGAGATGAAGATCCCAGAAGAAACCCCCTCCCCCAGAAAATGCAAAATAAAAGAAGCCAATTTCAAACTCCCAGAAATGCAGGCAGCCCCACTCTAGCAGTGGGTTCAATTAGTCTGTGGAATAGCCTCCCCCAAGGAAATGGGGTCCAGTGCTCAGGGTGTTTAAAACTAAACAACATAAATCATTAGGAAAGATACAATGAGGGACAGTCCTGGCCGTGGTGACCTAATGGGTCTCTTCTGTGTCTGCGTTCTGTGATTCTGGGGAATGCTCTGGCAAACAGCCCCATCAGAACTCCAGAAAGAATTGACCAAATGAAAGTGTTAACAGACTGATAGGCAAGAAATGGCTGAGCAGGAAGGTCCCCTGTCCCATTATCTGAGTGTGGTTATAGGGGAAGATAGAAGAAGTGGTGAGCAAGGCATGGCCTGTGGACCCAGAATATGATAAAGGGCTGAGGATACAGGCTATCCATGTACATAGACTGCCTGCCATCCGCGTACAGCGCTGATAGTGATGCCTAGGGTGCTGTTGATTCACATTCATAAGTTCCATTTGAAGCCTCTGGTGTTCACCCATTGCTGAAGCAGACAGATTTGACATGCAAAAGAGTCTGCTGCAACTTCCAGTCTTACAAAGCAATCTGGTGGTAGGGTTAGCACAGAGCAGGTCAAAGGACCAAGAAGTCACGTTACCTTCACGTTACCCTTACAGGTTGCCACATCCAGTCACGTCACTTGGCTTATCAAGTCTGGTATCCTGCCTCAGCTCTGGCCCTATGCTTGAGGGTTTGAAGGAAGAAAACACCTCCCTTCTCTTCTCTTCCTCCCCTCTGCAGAGGAACGCTCATGGGCAATTATGCAGTGCTGTACTTTGTGGGGTTGGGTGGGTGTGATTTACATAGTTAAGGCATAACTCTCACAGTGTTGCTAACTCTCACAATATTTGATGATTTTCTTAAGACCCCAGTTCCTGGTGTCATTATCTGAGAATCTTGAGTAACAAAACCTGAAACAAATACTCACCAGCAACCACACAACAGAACCACTAACCCAGAAACCTATCCTTGCAACAAAGCCCGTTGCCAACTGTGTCCACATATCTATTCAGGGGACACCATCATAGGGCCTAATCACATCAGCCACACTATCAGAGGCTCGTTCATCTGCACATCTACCAATGTGATATATGCCATCATGTGCCAGCAATGCACCTCTGCCATGTACATTGGTCCAACTGGACAGTCTCTACGTAAAAGAATAAATGGACACAAATCAGACGTCAAGAATTATAACATTCATAAACCAGTCGGAGAACACTTCAATCTCTTTGGTCACTCGATTACAGACCTAAAAGTTGCAATTCTTCAACAAAAAAACTTCAAAAACAGACTCCAACGAGAGACTGCTGAATTGGAATTAATTTGCAAACTGGATACAATTAACTTAGGCTTGAATAGAGACTGGGAGTGGATGGGTCAGTACACAAAGTAAAACTATTTCCCCATGTTTATGCCTCCCCCACTTGCCCCCCTCCCCACTGTTCCTCAGACGTTCTTGTCAACTGCTGGAAATGGCCCACCTTAACTACAAAAGGGCCCCCCCATTGTCCCTCGTCCTCGTCTCTCCCCCCCCCCCGCTCTCCTGCTGGTAACAGCTCATCTTAAGTGATCACTCTCCTTACAGTATGTATGGTAACACCCATTGTTTCATGTTCTCTATGTATATAAATCTCCCCACTGTATCTTCCACTGAATGCATCCGATGAAGTGAGCTGTAGCTCACGAAAGCTTATGCTCAAAGAAATTTGTTAGTCTCTAAGGTGCCACAAGTCCTCCTTTTCTTTTTGCGAATACAGACTAACATGGCTGCTACTCTGAAACAAAACAAAGTGTGAATGTCCAGCAGAGGAAAGCCTGAAAAAGTGGTAACACCGAAAGGCTCAAAAACTCAATGGCAAATAAAAAGAACTCCAAACTAGTTAGTTTAAAATTATTTTAAAGCCAAGCTTGTGATCTTTTGGGGGAGGGGGATGATGGCTGATGTGATTTTTTGAATGCTTGAGGTTGGCCCTCAGTTCCTATCAAGTCACTGGGAATTGAGGGCACTCACACCTTGAGGAGCTGGGCTCTGAGAGTTTGCAGAGTGAGCCAGAATGCTGAAATGATTGCTTTCTCATCTCGGTGTCTTTTTTCCCTGGCCTACAGGATTGATGTACCCAATTCCAGTGGCCCTCAGGTGCACAGACGGTACAGGAACTGGAATCCACCATTATTAGGCAACCTTCCTGATGATTTCCTTCGCATCCTACCCCAGCAGATGGACAGTGTGCAGGTGGGAGGAGAATGTGTTCAACTATATAGCACCTAGACTTCTTAGGGTGACAAGTTCAAATCCTAGCAGGGCTGGTTCTGTCCTTCATCTTTCTGAAGTAGATCCACTGAGCACTGCATAAATTACCATGAAGGGGCATTTCCGAGTGAAAACCTAGTGATGCTGTGAGGTTAAATTCATCCCAAAATTTAAGATGCGCCAAAATCAAGTACTCTACAAACCTGTAGAAATATCACAGTGGAACTTAAATTTCAGCTATCACCCTTCTCCTATAGGGTTTACACCCTTAACTTTGCAGCAGGTGTGGTGTTTTAAGACCCTCTGGCTTCCAAGATGCATCATGGCAATTTTCATAGGAGTAGGCGTTTGACTGGGTGTCCCTGGCCAAAATTTCCCTTGTCCCCTTCTATTATACAATATGTTGCAGACTGGCTGGCTGCTGCCCTCCCACCCCAGAGATAAGCTTCATTTCACTGGTGCCATATAAATTAGGGTTTGTGAACTGCCTTTGGACTTCAGCATCAATACTTCATACTTTAGCATGGTCCTAAAACTCTATAGCTAGGCATCTCACAGTGTATCAATTTATGCATCTTGCCAGAGCTGCAATAGGAAGCTGTCTCCTGCAAGAAGCAAGAATGACCACTGAGCTAACTACTCGCACACCTAAATGCAAAGCTTATTTCTTCCACTTAGCTTTCCCACAGTATTTTCTCTGCCCACCCAACTCACATGTATATAAACAAGCAAACAAATCCATACATTAAGCTGTCTCTCCTATAGGCTAGGAGAGGCGAGACAGAAAATGCAATGAAGGGGGCTAAATTATAAGTAGACAGCTAGATTCTTCCCTTCCCTTTTGGCTCCGAAGGCACATCTACCACAGTTTCATAAATTATTGCTCTGGAGCTTCATCTTTTCAGGCTATATTACCTTTCTGGGAATAGGAAGCTGCCTGTTCACTGGGCTCCGGGGGAAGAGAGGTCCTGGTGCCTTTTTCCTTCCTTAGGAATTGTAGGCTATTGATTTTTATGGCCCTCTGCTACAAATCAGATAAATATGGTAGGCCAGGTGAGATTGCTACTGGATGGAATGTTTCTCCTCCTTCCCCTTTTGCATGCACAGATACATGCACAAGCAGGAAAATGAGAGATAAAAGCTGTTAGGGTTTGTCTCAGATAGTGGAATTTGTCCGATGGTAAATTGCATTTTCAGCTGCTAGATGGGAAAAATAAAAGCTGTGCCACTTCGGCTTCCATCCGCGAGAGGCTCTGCACTTCTCCCCATGTCAAAGCCAGGTTCAGCCCTGGTTTGATATTGATTTAGCTATCAGAAGAACTCTAATACTTGTATTTAAAGTGAGGCTCTGACTATAAAAGTGGTTTAATGGGATTCCACGTTTATTGTGACTTTCTGATTTCCAGATTAGATGTTCTCAGATTCCAAGTTAAAAAGACAAACCACAAACTTTTTCTCCTGACTAGCCAGCCCTGCAGACTCAGCCTGAGAATCAAGCTGGGTACTTTCCTTTTCACACATCACTAGCAATAAAGCCAGGCCAAACTATCCCCTCATTGACTCCCATTGTGTAGCCTGATTGCTTTCAGTAAGTTTGTACATGTGTAATTGATTAGAAGTGTTTACTAAGTTCCATTGATGATGCTCAAGGAGGAAGAGACTCTCGCTCACTATCCCACAGCTGAGTTGGCTCTTCTGGGCTGGCTGAGAAATGCCAAGGAAAAATGTATGCACCATATAGTCAGCATATCTGCTGCTGATTTTGCTCGGGAGCAAATATGCTGGGGAAGAGAGTGCCCTTGTCACAGTTGCCTTTCCCAGTAGAGATTTTCACTTTAACCAAGATCAGGATTGAAGCCCTTTGGTAAGGCTGAAGTATAGAGAGGATGGGAGTACAGCCTGCTGTTGTCTAAACTGTGCTGATTCTGTTGATAGATAGGGACCTTTAATTTTCAATGTGGATATTCCAGCACCTTTCACAAGAGCTAAAACCTTGATTCAGCAAAGCACTTATGCTTCAGTGTCATTGAAGCCACTGGGACTTAAACACATGCTCAAGTGCTTTGTTGAATCCCGTCTTACAGTCACACATACTACCTGGTTACTGTAATGAGCTTCTCAGGGCCTTCATTGACTCTTCCTTTATGTCATACTCTTGTCCAGAGTTCACAAAGTTGCCATCAGACTGTGCTGGGCGAGGGCAGCCAGAGATCCCAGGGCTCGTTGGACCAAGAGAGGAAGTGGAAACAGTACCTGGAAGATGAGCGAATTGCGCTCTTCTTACAAAATGAAGAGTTCATGAAGGAGCTCCAGAGGAACCGGGATTTTCTCCTGGCCCTTGAGAGAGGTGATAAGCCATTTCAGAGACTTCTGTGTATGCTTTTCATATGCTTGAATTCCTCCTTTGCTGCAACTTCCAGCCCTTGGGCCTCGTTCTCCATTGCCCTACACTGAGTGTCATCATTTACACAAATACAAAATGAGTGCAAAATGCAACTACACCACAATGGCAACGTTTTTCACCCACGTTGCACTTACGCTGCATTGGTGTAAATAAGCTGAGGGTGCAGTGCTATGGAGACTCGGATCCATTGGGAGCTGATGGCAGGGGTGCTTTCTGTTCCTTCTAGCCTGGCTTGATAGTCTTCCTCATGGCTCTCCTAACTCTGCAAAGTCCTTCCATCTTCCCCACCAGCTAATACTCCTTTCATGACCATCAGACCTATAGAAGCATTGGGTGAAATCCTGGCAAAACTCCCCTTGACTTCAGTGAGACCACGAATTTCATCCATTATCCTCTGACCCCTCCTCCCACCTCTTCTGAAAGACCTAGACAAAACACTCCATCAGCTGTGATCGGTCTCCAAAGATTGGGCTTTATCATTACATCCTTGTCGTCCCCCGCCCCCCCCCCAGATATTGCTGTTTCGATTATTTCCCTTTTAACCCTCTCTGCCTACAAAAAGGATAATTCTTCTTGGGTTTGGTGTATGATCACCTCAGTCTTTTAGCATTGTAACCTCTGTCACTGTAAAATACTGCTGGGTTTCCTAGAGCTTCTCATCACATTCTGTCTAGTGTCTCTTGCTAGTTGTTCTCAGCAGCTTTTCTGATGACACTACAGGGAGAAGTTCAGTGGTTTTGGTAACTTGAGGTCTCTTGAATGATGAGCTAGCTACTTCCTCTCTGCTCTGTCACTTTAATTCTGAACACACAGGCTAATTAATATATTCCCGTCTGGCTCATCTCACCAATCATGGTATTTATCACTCACACGTCTCACTCTTGGTTTGGGAAAGCTCATCCTAATGCCTTAATTTAAATGCTCAGCCTCCTGTCCATCACAGCCAGAAAATCAGCTGCTCACTTACGATTTTCATTTTCTCTCCTTTGCCATGGTAAGACTATCATTTTCCAGCCTGCTTCTCTAATCTCTGTCGCTAAAACATGGGTGGTCCGTGAAGCTTAAGTGAACAAATAGAAACCACAAAATACAACACACAGTGTAGGACCTAGATGGTGATTAAGGGCCATGTAATACATTTCATTCATTGTGCATCTTAGATTGCCTCGCCTACAGCTCCCCCTTGAATCCATCTTCCCCAGGCCTGCTCCAGTGTTCTGAACCTCTGAGCAGCTCTGGACAGACAGCCTTCTCTGTTTTCAAAAAGCAGTTCAACAGGGAAACATTTCCATCTTTCTATGAATATCTGGGATTGTTCCTCAGTGTTACACTAGCCTTATGTGTTGGATGGCCACTGTTTCAATTGGTGCCTTATACTAGTGACTGAATACATATATAGTGGATATATGGTCAGTGTATATAATGTAAGTCGAGAGAGGTGCACATACTGAGTTAACTTGGCTGCTGGTACCTCAGGCTTTGCCTTGCCTGACTTTTTACAGTTGAACTGAATATTGCAGTAACACAGCTTTCTGCACAAAGTAGCTGTGTGTGCGCGTGCACACACACTGTCCAACAGGTCCACCCAGCCTTTGAAATACCTTTCTGGAGCAGTGCTCTTCAAGTGAGACTACAGCCCACTGGGTTTTGCACCTCAAAGATTTTCATACCCACTGTGCTCCAGCTGTCTGATCCTGTCAGAGGGAACAGTTGTAAAGGAAATGGGATTTCACTTGTTGCTTGACTGCCTTGTATGTTGGTTTTGAAGGGGTCTGAACTTATACTCTTGGGGTTGGGATGTGGAGGCACAGAGCTACCACCAATTGGCTTGAGGCTTTACATGTGCAGAGCGCTAGCATTCGGAGCCTGCGGCAGTGTTGGGGGCACAGTTCTCTTCCTCTCTCAATTCCTCAAGCATTGTGTAGCCTCACTTTTCCTCTGAGGCAGAGGGAAACAGTGGAGAGAGCATGTGCTATCCAGCGCAGCAAAAAGACTGTTTGGAAAGCACTTGCCTAGGGTTCTTGTGCTATCACTTATTGCCAGCTGGGATCCCACTCCTCCACAGAACAGCAGACCTCACTTCAGACTGCGTTTGCTCACTTTGCTGACAGATGGAACCCAGAACAAAGCAAACCAGGCTAGGATTGCAAACTTGGAGCAGGCAGCATTGAGGCTGCCATTCTAGCTTAGCTGCACTGTTTCAAAACAAAGCTGCACATTTGGGATCCAGATCTCAAATGCCCCCTAGTTTTAGATCAGGAAAGGGCCTTCAGCCCCAGGGTCTGTATTCAGCCTCACTATAAAGATAGGTGCCTATCTGCAAAATCAAGATCCAGGGTCAGATTTAACACACCCAGCATTAGAAGATGTGATGATCTGGGGTTGTGATTTGTCTTTGAATCCATATTTTCAGAAGCATGAATATCTTCTTCTGACGCCATCAGAGATGCGTGCAATTAACAGACAAGAGGATTATTACCCATTTGTTTTTAAATCTTTCCTGACAAGAGTTGTCAGCTTCTGAAAGTAAAACCATACCAGCCAATTTCTTTAAGTGTATTTCATCATGCTGGTGACATACCAAGTTTCTGAAAATGCTCTCACAAATCATACATCATTAAGTCCAGTCACAACATTTGGCAATTAATTTCAGCTCACACTATACTTTGGGCCTGATTTTCCAGAGTGCTGATCACATGCAAGTTCCTATTGACCTCAGATGCAGTCAGGGGTACTCGGCATTTCTGACACTCAGGATGCTCTTATTTGGGTGCTTACATGTGGATTTAGATGTCTGCCGTTTAGACACCTAAGTCTGAGCATTTTTTGCCTTCAGTTAATTATATTAGCATGGTCACATTTTTGTGCTATTTCTTTTCCATTCAAAAACCCAGCCTCTGGGTGAAGCAGATGCTTGCTCAGTCATTTGGGTTCAGCTGAGCCCAGCCAGCCCAAATGACTTCCTGTTTTTAACAATGCTATTGGTGGATCTCAATCCCAGCTCCCAGTTAGCCAGCCCTACAGCATGGTTCCTGTCGGGATGAGGCACATTGGCAGAGCAGTGTGGGGAAGCTGGCTCTACTGCCTTCCAGGCTGTACCTACCCTCTGGATGGAGGACTTAAGAACATAAGAATGGCCATACTGGGTCAGACCAAAGGTCCATCCAACCCAGTATCCTGTCTACCGACAGTGGCCAATGCCAGGTGCCCCAGAGGGAGTGAACCTAAAGGTAATGATCTAGTGATCTCTCTCCTGCCATCCATCTCCACCCTCTGACAAACAGAGACTAGGACTTCAGCCTTCTGGGCTGTCAGTTCTGCCCCTTTCATAAACCATAAAAACAAATTTAAGATGAAGAAAAAAAATTCCCCCTGCTCCTGCCCCAGACTCCCTTCCTCATTCCATACCTTGTTACACTGAAGCTGTAAAACATCCTTGGCAGTGAGTGCAATGTAATGCCTGGTTAGGTCAAGAAGAATGGAATAAATGATTCAGGGTCCCAGGGCTAATTGAATGTTTTTTGTTCTTCAGATCGACTGAAGTATGAGTCAAAAAAATCCAAGTCGACCAGTGTTGCTGTCAGTAATGAATTCAGCTTTTCTTCTGTACAACCAGGTAATTTACAAGCCGTGTGTGAGCATATGATCACAGAGATCTCCTGGCAGCTGCTCTCGTATTTTTAACGCTTCTGCCGTTGCGTTGTCTGCAGAGGGCCACACTGTAGGTAGGTCTTCGCTTTAAAAAAAAAAAAAGAAAAAAAAAGTGTGTTCTAACCCAAATTAGCCAGCTTGGGTTAAAATAGCAGTAAAGATGTGCCAGTTTGGGTAGCAGCTCGAGTTCAGCCCCAGGCTGCTTTATCAGTTTTAAGTCGAGCTGCTAACCCAAGTTAAAAGCTGAGTTGCCGTATCTTTACTGCTGTTTTAACCAGAGTGAAGAACACACCTTTTTTGCAGTGGAGACATATCTTGTGACATGAATGGCAGAGGGTGAAAACCTTCCTTTTGGTGGCAATTGACATCAATCCCTTTCTCCTTTCCAAAACTCCTTAGGTTTGGGGCTGGAAAGGGATTCTCCCCCTGGGGGGGGTATCGTCAGGGACGTTGTGGGAGACTTCTGATGACTGTAAAAATAGTGTGATGTGAGCAGAAGTTATAGGGGAGATTTTTAGAGGCACAAAGGGCAGTTGGGACAGCCAGTGGGAGTTGAGGCCCTAATTCGTGTCTTTGCTTGGAAAATCTCCCCCTTAAGTTTCCTATCCTGCAGCAGATAATTTCTCTGTTTTCTCTCAGTTGCTGGAGCTGCTGGGAATGGGCAAAATGACCCAGAAAAGGGTGGCACACCTTTGCTAGCCTCTTTGCTACTTCCCCCTGCCTACATGATACTGTATTAATAGCGCCTGCCTTGTCACAATCCCTCAGCATTCAGAAAGCTTCGATTCCAGTCAGGTTGCAATAAGGAGACCGTAAGATGCAGTTTTCGGCTCCACTCTCTCTCTGCCTTAGTGCTAGAGTCTAGCACATGCTTTGAGCTTTGATCAAATGAAACTTGGAAACCATTATTGCTTCTACATTGGCCCAAGGCTAAAAGAGTCCTCCTCATTCCCCATCCTGGTCCTTTTCTCTCTTGCCATGCATGGCTATGTAGATTTTGCTTGGGAGTGGAGGTAGAATGAAGAGAACTATGCTCTAGTTCCCAAGTATAACAAAACATACCCTTGTCTAGCCCAGGAGCCAGGGATCATGCCTTGCAGGCATACCAACTATCTGAGTAATCTTGATTAACCTTAGGGACTGCATAGCAGCTGCCCCAAAGGACAGACAGCGTTGGTGTCTGTCAGTATCTTCATGTTGAACTACAGAGCAGGACACGGCAAATGGAGCTATTCATTGAGGCTTGACGTGATGGTTTTGGCTAAGGTTACGGAATTTCAATTGTGCCCAGATTTGATAAAGAGGGCGAGAAGCACAAGGATATGATTAACAAGGAGCTGTGACTCACCCAGATCAGCTGCCTGCACTAGTACAGCTGAGACTTCTAAACTTTCTCCATTCTTAATTAACTGTCTGTGTCATCATGGTAATGCAAATGGGCTTGGAGCATGATCTAATAACCAACTGAGAAATAAAATTAGCAGATTGGGTGACTTGGGGTCACTTTCTCTCAAAGAAGCAAGAGGCTTTTTGTTCAGCAAAGGGCAATTTTTTTTTTTGTATGAACAGACATTGATGGATGGGGCCTGAGTCTGCAGGGTCTTGCACCTTGTGTAGTCATTTTGCATCCATTGTGCACAGGAGTGAAAGCTGCCAGGTCAGAGTGGTAGCACCTACAGCTGCTCTGCATTAATTCTGCACAGGTAGCAAAGTTGTAGAGCACTGAAGATTCAAGGCCACAGGCAGGCAGAAATCACCCATAGCTCTGTTGAAATCAACAGAGCCACAGCTGTAATCTCTTATCTGTAACCCTTTTAAAGGAAGGGCTGTACTGGAAGCAGCTGAATGTGGAGGGTCACTTCCATCCCAAGAGGCCTAGGTAGTACTGTATCTGCTGACCTCCATCCTGTCTCCCATCCCATCTCACTCCCCCCTCCGCCAGAATCCAGCCCTGTCTGCATCCCACCTGGCTTGTCTCATTGAGACAGAACAGACTATCCCTTTGTGCACTAGGAAATGCTGGTAATTTCTCCCTGGTCTCCATCTTTTATGTGTGCTCTTTTCTTACTCTGTCTTATTCAGCTCAGGACAGAGATGCTTGCCAGCTGCTTTGTGGCAGGGCTGCTGTTTCACTGGAACTGGAATTGGGTCAGTGTGATGGTTCGGCTTAGATTCTCTGCACACCCTGCTCCACCCCTACAAACCCCTAGTGACCAGATTTTTGCATTTCAGGTGACGTAGCCCCTGTAACCAGCGAGGCCAGCAGTGCTGTGTCTGAAGATGCCTTATTCAGGGACAAATTGAAACACATGGGAAAATGTGAGTTTGTCTCTACGTTCTGTATTGGCAGAGGGAAGGCTGTGTGGCAGTAGGTGGGCAGGCGGAGGAGGTGAAGCAGTAAGGATTCTTTAGCACTGAATCTAGTGCTAAGGCATTTTTCTGCTAAAGCACTCTGCATGCGTGTGTGCGTGTGGCGCATGTGCAAGCCAGTACCCGGGTATGCACAGATCTGCGAAGATACGGGATTCTTACCTCCCCTCCAAGCCTCAGAAGTTATTCATGTTTGTCAAGCCACCCCGTGACTCTAACAGGGCAAGGCACGTTCAGCTGGGAGTTGAGCTTTTGATTAGAAGGGGCTTTAATACGTTGTGCTGTGTAAGGCTGCACTAAGCTTGGCGAGGATGAACTGGGAGTATCAAATACGGAAATCCAAATTGCACTCATCCATCTCCAAAGCCTGGAGCAGATTGGGGTTTGATTTCCATTTGCCTTCTGTAATCCTGGACTTCTGGATCCTCTGACCCACACTCTGCGCCCATCTGTGCTTTCCTTCTGGCCTGGGTGCAGCCCTGGTCAGAGATGGACCAACCTCCCCTGTGCCAGTTGTTTCAAACTTATGAGAGAGCTTGGTTTTGAGGAAGCTGCCACGGTAGTAATGCGTGTCTGACTCCTGGTGAGTGCCTAGCGTTGCATTCTGGATAACTTCAGCAATGTTGTTGATAGGCTTCACAGGAAGCCCCCAACCACCACACCAGCCATGCTAGGCTCATTCCCCTGTTTTTCTCCCAGGCTCGCTTCAGTGCAGCCCTGTGCCAGGAATGCCCTCTGCATCCCGAGTCCCCGAGCCACTCCCCTCCCCTCCCCTCAGCACATGCCTTTTCTGGACTCATTCCTCCCACAATGCCAACAGGAAGGGCATTAAGAAGAAAAGCAAAACTTCAAGACGTTCCTTCCTCTGAGCGTCCCAGCACATTAATAATAATTGCCTTCCCATAGTACCTGGGAGCCCCCGTCACAGACCAGCCCCCCACTGTGCTAAGTGCTGTACAAACACAGAACAAAGGGACGGTCCCTGCCACCAAAAGCTTCCTCTCTAGCCCTGCTTTCAATGTCTCTCTCCCCCAGGCACTAAGCTCATTGGGGCAGGGACCGTCATGTACAGCACTGAGGACTTTGTCAGCACTTAGCCCCGTCTGTCTAGGCTGGGGATGAGACCAGATCTCCAGCAAGCAAGTGGGTTAAAACAGTAAAGGAGGCCATGCTCTAGGTTTCATCACTCAAGAAGAGAGTCCCCGTGATGTGGGGGGAGCAGCACTGCTCCCTGAACGAGTTTGTTCTTCAAGTGGAATCCATTTTTCTTTTCTTCCTACCCCACCCCAGAAGATGACACATGTGGCTTGGATGGATTTTCTCTGCCACTCACAGGCAGATCAGTTAGGTGTCTCCTCCGGTAGACACAGGCAATGGAGTGGGGTTTTGCCATTTATAGGTGCTGAAACTGGCTAAATTGCTCTGGCTGCTCTGACATCAGATCTGGCATGCTCCTTCATGCTGCAAGCCTGTGTGTATGCCTGTCTTCAATGTATGTATTGTAGGCACGACTCCATGACACGGATTGGATTGGGCTTCCTGGGAATAGAAGCAAGTCCTTTCTAGCTTCTGTTTAAATAATAAAATAGAGGCTAGAGAATGAGGAGTTAATAGAAACTCTTCCCACTTTTGTTCTTTCTTTCCAGCAAGCCACAGGCTACTCTCCTGTTGTAAAATAAATTGGGCACCTCACGCAGTTTGACTGACTCGTGGGCCACAGTTTATTTGAGCTTTGTTTAGTGTGGGGGTGAGGGGAGAGAGGGAATTTGGCTTAGTCATGGATGAAGAATGTCATGGAAATCACAATCAAAAAGTCTGAATAGTCAGACCTTTTGTGTAGTCAATTGAATCCTTCCTGCAGGGATCAAATTATATTCTTTCTGATCACTGAAACTAGTACCAGTGCCTGGAAAGGTTTATTGGTCCTTGGTTTCCTAAGGCTAAGCAGTAAGGCATTGTGCATTCAAGCAGGCAAATTCATCTTGGTTTAGTCATCCCCTGCCCTGCAGCATGTAGAGGGTGAATCAAAGCCCCATCATCCCAAATGGATGGCATGGGAACTTGGCACTTGTCATACTTGTTGTTTGCTATCCACTTTTGATGGCTGGTTAAGAGCAAGCCATTCACCTGCCTGTTTCCTTTCAGCTACACGTAAGAAGCTGTTTGAACTTGCCAGGGCTTTCTCAGAGAAGACCAAGATGAAGAAGTCAAAAAGAAAACACTTACTGAAGCACCAGGTGTATCCTTTCAGCACATGACGTTGTCCTCCCACCCCTTGGTCACACTGAGCTTCCCAGGGATGGGTCCAGGTCCCACAACTTGGAACAAAACTCTGCTGCAAAGGGCTAGAACGAGGCCTATGCCAGGGTTCTCCACCTTTGGGTAAAGGAAAGGGTTAGGGGGACACAACCATGCTGACCGTCCCATATTTCTTAATGGCGGGGAGGTTAACAGGATGGGTGGGGGGGAGGATCCTGGCATGGGGAAGAGGTTTCTTGGTATAGACAAGGTAGAGAATCCCTGGTCCATGCACCACTTAAATCTCACTTAAGCCCTGAAACTAGGGAAAAGATTTGTGCACGTGGAAGGGAGCTATAGCTCAGGGAGAAAACAATGTCAGTAACCAAAAGGTACATGTTTGCAACCCTCATAATCCAAGCCACAGCAGACATTCACAGCTCATGGTGTATGCACGTTTGGACCCAGCTTTGAACTCCCCTGAAGTCTTGGTGTGTTTGGAGCTGATATTCTGGTTTGAGCCAAGCTAAAATGATTCGCTTGTTGCTGAAGCCCCCTTGAAACTGTATTTTGTGGAGAGAGTTTCTCTAGTGGCATGTTAATTTCAAAAGCACATGTGCTAAATAATTATCATGGCAGTCCTAGGACACTGCTCAATACCAATGATGCAAGAGAAACCATGCTGGTGACTCGTCTATCAGCTTTTCCTCCCCTTCTTTTCCATTTTCATTTTAGCTGGCACGTGGATAGAGACCTAGAGATAAAAGGGCTTTGTTATCCCCAGACTGCTCTCCTTAGGGTGGCTGCGTTAATACTCTCCGAAGTATGTTGCCTTGGTACCTGAGTGCCACTGTTATGGCCTCCCTGTTCTGTTATGACCCGGATCTCATGCCAGATAGCAGCAGAATGCAACTGGAAACATACCTGGGAACCACCCCCAATTCTTCGAGTCAATTGTGATGGGCTGTTTGCGAGTCTGTAATTTACTTCCCAGGCTGTCGAACATTTTCCTTAACAGAGAGTGCAGCATGGGGACAGCGGCTTCCACAGCTAATCTTCTCGATGACGTTGAAGGACACTCGTGTGGTAAGACAATGTTTGTTTCTGCTAGAGAGCAAGTCTCCAGCTGATTTGCCCACTGCCTTGGTGTGTGTGGGTTTGTGACCCCAAATAGCAGGGGCTGCACACCAAAAATCGAGCTTCCTTTCTTGCAGATTCCTTCCTGCCTGTGACGCTAGCTGTTTGGAACCTGTTCCCTGAGTCGCCCTTTCCTAACGCAAAGAGCTAGCAGGCCTGGACCATCCCTGTGGCTAAATGTAGAGTGAAACAGGAATGGGGGAGCTCTCTCTGCACCAGAAACAGCATGGGGGAGCTCCCCCAAGCCAGAGACAGGATGAGGAACTCCCCCACTTTTTAGCCAGGCTCCTCCATTTCAAACCCTGTACTGTACAATGGATACTTCTCCATCTGTGTGTTAACTCCCCAAGGTATCTGAATGAGGTTTGGGGTGAGCAGGCCCTTCCTCCTGGTCCCCTTCCACCATGTGTTCTGGCTGTCCAGCCCCCTGTTCTCTGTTAGTTCAGCTCCTCATCAGATGATGGGATCACCAAACAAAATGGGGCTTGCTTCCCCAAGGGCCAGGAACACCCTCTGTAGGTTCGGGTGGGTAACACTCACTGCGGCTTTGCAACAGGCATGCGTAGATTTAACAGAAGTATAACCCAGTGGTGAAAGGTGTTGGATCAGCATCCCCGAGACCTGAAGTCCGTTATTTGTCTACAGGACAGCACGACAGCAGTAGCCTCTTCCCTTGACCCAGGAGAAGCACCACAAGGGGTGAGAGGGTGGTACAGTCTCCATAGCCCATTCACACCAAGGCCCATCTGCTGAGGCAGCCAACCAAGGCGCCAGCTGTACAGGTGGGCACTCATGCAGTAGGAAATGGGCTGATACTCACCTACTCATTCCATGTAGGACATGGAACTGCCATCTAACAGTAGTGGCTTTGTTCACTGCTAGCCTGGGGCAGGTTTGAACCAACCAGTGACCCAAGAGTGACAGTCACCTATATCCTTCTGCAATTCCCAGGCCCTTCCAGTCCCCTGACACTGCTGCAGCTTTGCCACCCAGCTTGTTTAGATACGGGAAAGGATCTCCTGAAGTTCTGACCACACAGGTCTGTCTCATGCCTTTCAGATGAGGATTTCCAAGCAAGAAGGCAGCAGCTACACGAGGAAGAAGAGAGGCCGAAAGAAGGACAATAAATGGTAAGAAGTGTTTGGGGGTAATGTGCAGCTAGTTACAGGAATCAGATCAGCTATCCTGTTGCAAGCCCATCCCTCCCGCCCCCCAATGATTTGAGTGATGTAGGTTAGACAATGGGGCCAATGGACAAAGTGCCAACCTAAGAAAATTCAAAGGATCTATTGCACGCTGTCATGGAGAAAACAAGTGGCTTGAGCTTTATCCCTGGTGCTCCAACGCAAAGTTGAAACAGAGGGTATTGTCTTGGCTTCAGCTGTTTGTTCTTCCCTGGCTTTCACAGGATGGATTACTTCCTCTTGTTTCAGCTACAGCTGATAGCACTGGCCCCACAACATCCTTGATGACTTAGGGTGAAAATCACCATGCCTCAGAGAGGATGTGTGGAGTAGTTTGTGCTATGTGTTAAGGATCTAGGTAGGTCTTTGTGCATAAAGCCTTGCACATGGGGCTTGCATTGGGGTGAATGTCACCCACAGGGACTTACTCTGCCATTGTTGTACAGATGTCTGCCCCTCCAGCCCCATTAATAGCTGCTGTGTGGATAGCAACAGGTACTTTGGCCTTTGTACTGAAGAATGCAAGAGAAACCGTCTGGCCAATTCTTTCCTGTTCTTTGCTCTCCATGGAGAACGTATGTGGGTGGACTCAGCATGAGGTTACTGATGAAAACCATGCAGAGGCTCCAGTATTCATGCCTGCCTGTTCCTATGCATCAAGTTCAGTGAATCCTTATGGCTTGGTTTAAAAACATCCAGTGCACAGTGACAGGCTTTGTTTCAGCACCATGAGTGAAGCAGCTTTGACTGAATACACTTCTTCCTTTCCCCCTCCCTACCCTTCTCTTCTAGATCCCAGATCCATTGCCTGAACTGGGCTTTATTTGTTAAAGTCTTAATAAGAAGATGGCTGCAAAGAAAAAACAATTTCCTTGGCTTCCCCCACTATCATCCTTTTCTGAAGTACAAGTATTAAAGTGAGGCACAATTTTTTCTTCCCAGCGGGTTTGAAAACACCTCTTTCCTATCCAGCAAATCCAGCCAAAAATCAGCAGCTGATCTGAATTTTTCTCAGTCACTGCAGTGAAGATAATGGATTTCAAGCTTGTGGGAATAATGGCCAATCCCTCACCCTCTTTGATATAAACATGGTTTGGATATGAATTAAAAACAATAACAACAATAATACATTGAAAAGCGGGGCTCTGGCTTGCGCATTTTTAAACGTATCACTGTAGCAATGTGATGTAACTTTACGCACATAAAAAAAGACCTGAAAAATGTTGTTTATTGTTACTAAGAGATAATAAGCCAGGATCCAGATCAGGTAATAGGCAGGATAATATAAATCGTCTTTTGAAAAAGAAAAGGCCTTCTCCTGGGCATCTCACATTGAATTAAACCTTTGCCTCAGGCATGAATAAAATTTCCTTGAACTAGACACCAAGCTGGGTCCAGTTTCTCCTCCAGTGTACCACTTCCTCTAGCTTTGTGCTGCTGCTCTTGTGATATTACGGTACCTTTACAGAGTAGGAATGGGGGGTGGGGGAAGGCTGAATTTCAAAGCTGTGTAGTTCTCACTGCTGATCTCTGAATTAGAACATATCCCACGGGTTCTCATTTGGATTGTTCATGACAGTTGGCTGCTCCCTATGTAGCAGGCAATGAGTTTTGGCTGTCTAGAAACACTTACCAGATTAGATGGGAGGGGATTGTAGCTGGGGCCTTATTTGATTCACCTCTGAGTTTGTACATCATAGGCTAAATCCTGCTTAATGTGAGTCTCACAGCTGACTTCAGTGGGATCAGAATTTGGCCTCAAGTTGAGACATGAGTGGGTTTTCTTTAGCTGAGCCCATATGGTCTTGGGAGTTCTGGGCACAGACCTGAGAGCAGTTCTCATAACATGAAATGAAGAGGAGATTGGTTCAGAGCTTGCCAGTCAATGAGAGGATGACATCCCTCCTCCGGGCGAGAGCTTGGAATCTGGTGGAACATTGTGGGGATTAAAAGTAATGCTCAAATCATTGGAATCGAAATGGACACTGTCAGGCTAAAAAAAAATAGTTAAAAAAAAATTCCTTCCCTGTGCTACAAACAGCAGTGTCAATTACTGAAATAACTCCCCCCAAGCAAGTTTTCTTTTCTACATCAATACTGTCTATTTACTTCTAAGCTTGGGCAGTGAGAATAGACTAGTCCGTCTCACTTTCTGGGTCCCATGCAGTAGCACAAGTGCTGCAACGTTTGGGTGCAAAAGCAGCAGGAAGACACACCGATCCAAGCAATCAGTCCAACATTTTTCATTGCCTTTCTATTAGGCTTTGTAACAAAAGCCCACATTGCAGGCTTAAACTCCCTGACAGGCTCCTTTCAAAATCTGCTGGAGAATCTGTATGCCTTTGAAGCATGTGCCAAGACAGATTCTTTTTAAAAGTTGCTGAGCATGAGGCTCTTGTTCCATGCACCTGGCATTCAATCAAACTACTCAATGGAAACACGAAGGCAGTGGTGGGTTTCCTCGTCTGGGCCTGAGTAATTTGATACACTGTTCAGAACTAGTAGGGATGAGCAAAAGTGGATTCAGGCACACACAGCGCTTCCTTTCAGTGCAGGACTTTGAGTCTGTGTGGCACGGAGTTTCAAGAGGTTCCTGATGAAAGGGTCCATGTGTCTATTGCTGAAGTGTCACATTCTCCTGACAGAACGTGATTTGGATATTACACTAACTCCTCAACTGTCGCATATAGTGCCCATGACCTCCCAGTCAGAACATGAGCTGCTACAAATCCCAAACAGTGCAGTGGGCAAGTGCATGGAGGCTTGAATCAGGATGTGGACAGCAGCTATGCCCTGGGATCTCAGCAACTTTTGAGGTTCTCAAAGACTAAAGATCCTCTAAAGATTCAAATTCCCCCCACGCTGAGCTTGTTTTTGGTGTCTGTTCCTTTCGAAAAATAAATAAAAGGGAGAGGAGCATCAATGAGTCTTTTGGTAAAACCTCCTGAGTGGAGGAGAAATTTGCCTGCGTCAGGGACTAGAATAGTTTCAAGTGAGGTCATCCGTGCTCAGACAAGAATTCAGTGGCTTGGAAGCTTCTGCAGCACGCAGTATATGAGGTTCCTGGAATATGCTTTTGAGGCTGTTCAGAGAAAGGAAGCGACTAAGGGCCTAATTTTGGGAGCTGCCAGGCACCCACTAGCCCCTTTGAAATCAGTGGGTGCTACATTGCTCAGCACCACTCAGGGTAAGGCCCCAAGTACGTGTGTCCATACATACGTATTGGTTGCTAAGGGTGAAGCTGGAGCACTACCACTGGAAACAGACGGGCTTTTGGAGGAGGAGGAGGGACTTTTATCCCCAGCCTTAGAATTGGAAGGTCTGTTTCTCCCCCACCCCCTTTTTCCTATCCTTAATTGGCTCCTACTTTAATAAGTGCTTGGCTGTTTCTCCCTCTCCTAAAGCAGCTCTGCATGTTTGGAAGAAAATCAAGCTTGGAATCAGATCAGCTTGTAAAAGTTCCAACTTCTCTTGGCTACTGAGGGCTTAACTTTGAGCTAAGTTTCCATGAATGCAAAAAGGCATCAACGGCCGAACAAACAGAAGCTCAGACTCTTGCTGGTAGGAAACTGTGCTGCCTGTCCCAGCAGAAACGCATTTTTATAAGACAGTCTGGTCTCAAGGAAGTGCTTTGTGGATTGGGGGGAATGGGAAGGGAAAAATACAAATGCACCTGTCCCTCAGGACACACGTGTTGTATGTTAGCAGCTGCCCCGCTGCTAAATTAGTGCTAGGTTTATTGAAATCTTTTACTCCTTGGTCTCTATCTAGAAATCAGGTTGTGTTATAACACAACCTTATGGAGTCATGTTAACTAACAATGTGTTAACAGTCACTATAGACAAGGACAAGGTGTGCTTAACATTTCATCATCTTGTCATGGGTAAATCCGACTAGAACCATAGGGTTAACCACGGCCAGCTGTCACAGTGCTTAGCACAACTTCTCCCTCTCTATGCTGACTTCTAAGACATTGTGTTAGTTAACATAGCTCCCCAAGGTCATCTTCTTAATACAATCTCAGGCTATATCTACACTTAAAAGCCTGCAGCGACACAGCTGCGGCACAGCTGGAGACTAGTCCAGAGGCGACTTATTGCCTCATTGTTCTATTAGGGCCGATCTGGAGATCATAGAATCATAGAATATCAGGATTGGAAGGGACCTCAGGAGGTCATCTAGTCCAACCCCCTGCTCAAAGCAGGACCAATCCCCAACTAAATCATCCCAGCCAGGGCTTTGTCAAGCCTGACCTTAAAAACTTCTAAGGAAGGAGATTCCACCACCTCCCTAGGTAACGCATTCCAGTGTTTCACCACCCTCTTAGTGAAAAAGTTTTTCCTAATATCCAACCGAAACCTCCCCCACTGCAACTTGAGACCATTACTCCTTATTCTGTCATCAGCTACCACTGAGAACAGTCTAGATCCATCCTCTTTGGAACCCCCTTTCAGGTAGTTGAAAGCAGCTATCAAATCCCCCCTCATTCTTCTCTTCCGCAGACTAAACAATCCCAGTTCCCTCAGTCTCTCTGTACTGAACACATCTGTGAGGTGCTGAGTACTCTCTACTGCAGTGGTTTGCAACCTGTGGTCGGGTCTGCAGACTGTGTCTAAGGGGTCCACAAAAGACTTAGACTGAAAACTGAGCAGAATTCAACTATATATACAGAAAGTAGATTTCCAAAAGGGTCTGCACCTCCATTCGAAATTGTTTAGGGTTCTGTAAATGAAAAAAGGTTGAGAACCACTGCTCTACTCTCTTCAAAGTCAGTTGGAGTTTTGAGTGCTCAGAACCTCCCAGGACAGAGCCCATACTGAGATGTGACTCTCCACTGACCCACATTGTAGGCATATAAAAAGCCAGGCAGAGTAAAGCGTATTTGGTGGTTTTTAGAAACTTAGCATTGCAGTGAATGGGAGGAGAATAATATTGTTACATGACTTCCTTGATCTGCGTTTGATACGCTGCGGGGTTCACATCTTTCTGGCTTTGTTGAGACGAGGATCTAAAGGTGTGGTGTTAGCATGTGGTAGCTAACAAGTGCTAGCTACTAAATGTCTAGTGTAGACAAGGCAGTGTATATGTTAACATGCATAGTTTAGCATGTGTTAACAGAAAACGCTGCCTTGTCTATGCAGGACTTTTAGGACATGCTAGCTAATGTGTTCTAACAATGCACTTTTAGATCCTAGTCATGACACAGTCTTTCTGAACGATGTAACCTTGTAACCATTTCCAAATGTCCCGGGAGCACCAAATACCATTGTAATGGAGGAGGAAGGGTGTTTTTTTTTCCTTTTTAAAAATTCAGGTCTAACAAGCGGAAAGGCCACAAAGACAGGCTTGAAAGCCAAAATGCATTTCTTCTATAAAAATGTACAATATTCAGTGACATTTGTATCGCTTCTATACGAAATGGTTTAAAAACCAAAAAAGATTTCTGTGATGTTTGTGAGTGTTGCTATTTTAGAACTTATTTCTATAAGTATTTTTTTCTTAAAGATGTTTAATAGTAATTCATATAATAAAGTCACGTCGTACACTTAATGCCTTGGTTTTCTTTGCTTTTGATTTTTTACGGCCATGAAAAAAAAATGAGAAACTGAGAATCGAGTGAAACGCATTTTTCTTTCATCTCACTTCTAGACATTGCTCTCAATGGCTCATCTGTTACCGAATGAGTAGCTCTTCTAAGTGAGGGATTCTTATTGCCTCATGCTGACTGTGTCGTGCACAATCCAATAGGTGGCTCCAAAGAAACAGGAAGGAGGACTTCTCTGAACAGCCTGACTGCCATAGCAGAGCTCCAACAAGCTCTTGTCAAAGTGATCTGAACTACAGTTGGTCAGCAAATGGCTTCCCCCCCCCCCCCCCCACTGAAATTTTTGACTATATCTCCATGATGCACCATAGTTTCCCCTCATGGAGACCAGAAGCAGTGCATCATGGACATCCCTGGCTATGGTACATCATGGGAGATGTAGTCTGTCTGGGAAGCCTGGCCCATAGAAAATCAGGGATATGAAATGACCACATTACAACTCCCAACAGGCACTAAGGTAGTATATCCAAATTGAAATATTTCAGTTTTTGTTGAAATATTGAACATCTGAAAAAATTTCAATTTTCCGCAAAAAACAGATGCTTTTCATGTAAAACTGTATGTCAGTGGTTCTCAACCTATTTATCATTGGGCTGCATATGCAGCTCTCTGTGTTATGTGGGCCGCATTCAATATATATACTACCTGTATGGCCCTGAGGATGTCACAGCTGCAGCTGTGTGCTGAATGAGCCACAGGTTGAGAACCACTGCTTTATTTTATTGAAAATCCAATTTTCTGTTTTGTTTTGTTTTTTTTAAAAAGAGGCTTAGATGGAAAAATTTTAATCCAGTCCTAAATTGAATGCCTGGGCAGCTAATTGAGGATGGGAGGATATAAACTTTTAACATGAAATTCTGACTCAATATCACCCCTGTTTACAGTACAGGAGACTCTTAAACCCAAGGAAAGCTTTTCCTGGAAATGTGATCCCTGTCATAGGCAGCTCTCCATCCTCTTCCTCCCCCGGAAAGAGCCGGAATACTTTGCCACTTGACCTTGCAGGAGCAGCAGATTGGTGCAGGGAGAGCTAATGTTAGTTGTGGTAGTCATGGATTTGTCATGATTCAAGAACACCTTTTATGAAGGAGCTCAGATCATGCATGGGTCAAGAAGAAAATTTTGAAGCTTTCTCATGAGGAGGAAAGAGCTTGAGGAATTCTGAATCAAACAAGTGTGGCCTGTGACACAACTGCCCGCTGTCAAGTCCTGCAATATATCGGTCTCCATCTTTGCTATGGAGAGGAGCTGCTGGCAGTGACTGCAGGATCAAGAGGAAGCAACATGTCCTGAGATCTGTTCCTTCTGTGAGCAGCCCCTCCATATCAAACATGTATTGACCTACTTCAAGCTTCTAGCAAGTTACCAGTGCAGCTCTTGCTTGGACCAAAGATTCTAAGGCAGGATTTAGAGGTGAGTGAGGGGGCTTTATGTCTCTGATCGTTCATCACAGCATGGCAGGCTGCATCATACCCTCGCTTTGTGCAAAGCCCATGCACATGAGTTTTGCACAGGCTGGGGTAAGAGTCAGGCCCATTGACTTTAGGAAACATTAAGGAATGATTTCCCTAATAAATGAGTGATCCTGGCAGTTGCATTCTAGTGTATAGGGCGTGTACCATTCACACCCTTTCCTCTGACATATGTAGGCATTTAAGACCTGATCCAGTGCAAGTCATTCCGTTGAGTTCAATGGGCATTAGATGGAGCTCTTAGCCAGTGAAATCAATATCAGATCTTCTGTAGCTGGGCTTTATTTATGAACAAGAAATGCAGACCCAGGCTGCTCAGAGACAGTTGTGACGTCAGATCTGTGTGTGTAAGCTCACAGCACATCTACAATCAGCTATATTAATGTGGAACTGCATTTTATCAAAAATATGGTGTTACCCACTTAATGCTGAAAATAATAAGTCTCTCGGGATGAAGTGTGTGCAGTTTCTTTAAACTGTTTCATTGTCTGGAATACACCAACTCCTCCATGTCTGTCAAACGTACATTCAGGCTCCTTCACATTGTCTCCTAGAGGAAAGGGAATACATTTATTATAAGGTATTATTTCTGAAATATGTGTTCTTAATTTTCAACACCACAAATTTCTACTCGCTGATGGATCAGTATGTCTTGAAGCGTGAAACATTATTGAAGGTAGACAATTTAAAGCGAGCTGGAGCTTGTGGATCTCACTTCCTCAGAGTCAGTGACAGCATCTTCACTTTTTCTCAGTCTGTGTGTGCTTTGAGTTCTGACATCTAACATCTCCTAAAATTTTGAAGTGGAATCTGGTCAAAACAGCCAGTTTTGGCAATGCTGTTTTGCGAATCCACCATGATTCTGATGGTTTGCCATAAATTTGCCACTTTGCTCAAAACTGGGCCTAGGAATGCCTTGTAAGTTACACAATTCTGGTCTGTGGCAAGTTTGGGATAAAGCCTGAAATCAGGTGAGTTGTGATTACGGAGGCCAGACCCTCAACTGGCGTACGTAAATCAACATAGTGTATCAATGGAGCTTTGCAGCTATACAGCAGCTGAGGTTCTGGCCCACTTTGTTGAGGAAGATTTTTGCCTGGCTCAGGTAATCAGACAAGTGCGCCTATAAATATGACGATGAATGAATGGCCAGAACCAAACACATGATGAAAAAAATATAAATCTAACGTTATGAGGCTGTCTGATTCTGAACTTGACAACGTTTCGCAGTTTGGCCTCTGTTCAGAAGACCTAAATCAATGCTGCATCTTTGATGGATTATTTTTGGGATGAGTAGAGAGGCAGGCATTGCTCTTACTTTTCATGCCTTCATATGCATCTTTTTCAGTCAGCCTTTGCATGCTGCAATACAGTAGGTGCATTGGCACACCACTGCAGGCTTTAATGCTGACTTATTAGCGTTCACTGGCCTTTAAGACCACACTAGCCTCTTATTCTTGTTCTGGAAGGATGCTCTTGTATTTAAGGTGCAGGATAAATAGACAGCTCCAGACCTAACTGTAGCCAATTAGGAGCCCAGAGCTCCCTTCCCGAGTGATACTGGCACTTGGATACCACAGGGATGTGACCATACAGGTACCTAGATTGACTCAAACAGTCTCTGGATCATTCTGCTTTTGTAACTAGGGGAGAATTATCAGCCTGAGAGGCGCTTTAAGCCAGTGTTTGAGTTCCCCCATTGACAAGCATGGATTATTACTTGCAGAGGGGACCATGGGTTGAGAGCACTCTCCTAACAGCGCGCTCTGTTAATTTCCTCTGAAGCACCTGGCATTGCCTACTGTTGGAAGACAGGATGCTGGGCTAGATGGACCATTGGTCTGACTCAGTAGGGACATTCTTATGTTCCTGCTCTTGCCTTCCATGGTGTATTATCCTGTTTGCTGCCTCTTGACCTTGTCTTCATTTCCCTGAACTACATCTGGGTGCTCTGCTGATTTCCATTTGCGTTAGCCCTGCACAACTCCCTTCGCTCTTAAAGATGTTGGTTCCCCACCAGGCCTGGGATTCTGTTGCCTTGCAGTGGCCAATCCATGAATTGCACAAGGATGATTATTTATTTTTGGACAGGCCTGAGACTGCAGCCACACAACAAGGACCCCATGGATGGAGGCAGGGCAAGCTTCTCTAGGAAGGGAGAGGGTGATGCAGTCTCCATTGCTTGGACTCTACAGAGCAGCAAGGGGGTCAGTTTTTAATATGTTGCTGTTTTATGATGTGGGGAACTTGTCCTCTAGGAAATAGTCTTGAGGCACCCATTCATTTCACACCAGCCCCTGCACAACGGTTGAGCTTTCAGTCACTGGCAAGGATGCAGCCTAACTGCTGATGGAGAGGTTTGCAGCCTCTTCAGCTGTAAAGGGGTGAAATTTACAGTGTGGGGCCAGGATTGTACCCAAACCTCCAGCTTTAAAGAAGATTAACTAACTCTCCACAGTGGGCTGCTAGAATTGACCCTTCTGCTTATTGTCCTTTGGATTTCTACAGAAAATCCAAGCCTTTTGGTGCCCCTGCCCAGCCAGCCAGCAGAACTGAACTCCCAGCTCCTCTCCCCACTGGAGACGTAACCCCAATTGCTACAGCAATCCATGCAAACAGACCTGCTTTGCAGCCTACCCTCAAAGCCACCAGCCCAGCAGTATTTTGGAGCAGCAGGGAGAAGCAAATTCTAATGCTGGGTGCCCCTTGGAGTGAATGCTCTGTCCAATAAACTTATGAGGAGAGAAGGCGGACTCCAAAGCAACACCCTAAAGTTCAGTCTGTAAACCAACAGGCAGCCAGTGCAGATAATGTGTGTAAGATGCACCTAAATGTTTTTTATCTAGAGATAGTTGCTATTAGTTCAGAGTTTATTGCTGCTGGGAAGAACTTCCAAGGCTTGGCGCTGTGGATAGAGCTGAGGCACCTACAACAGGGGGTCTTGGTTCTGCTACTGACTGGCTGTATGACCGTACCCTGATCACTTCTCATCTCTCTGCCTGGGTTTTCCTTCTGTACAGCTGCTAAAATAAAGGTCCCTGAACTCACCAGTGAGTTGTGAAGCCTCCTTCATGAGAAGTGCTTTTAGATCCTTGGATGCAAAGTGTTAGACAAAGTATTATTTATTACCTTAATTTTAAAAAGCATGAGGCTGAAAAACTGAAAGCTTCAGCTGAAAAGCTGAAAAAGTGAGTGCAAACTTCCTATTGCGGCAAGTAATTTCCATCATTAATCCACCAACACTGCAGTTATAAATAGTGGGAAATTGGAGCTTTACAAATGAATTTAAAGGGTTAGTGCCTGCTAACTGCGTAGTGTGGCCATGAATACAGTCCTGGACAGCTATTTGTAGTTTCCTTTTTTATTCTCTGTCTCTAATGGGGGGAGTTTGTTCCTCTGCAAAGAGTGAACTGAGATGATAAAATGGTCCCCAACTAAAACTCTGCATCCAAATCACTCAACGCTAACGGTGG